ATGTTATGTAACTTTACCAAGAAATTGTTTCTAATCATATTATTTTTATCAATGCTTACCAGAGTACTTCAATCTATTTTGCAACTGTATGTCTGCGTCAATAACACTACTTTTCAGGAATAAGTTCTATAACTCAATTTTGTCAGGAGGACCTCCACTCCATCCCACTTGCATGGGGACACATATGTATGCATATGCACACACACATATTCTGAAAGAATGAACCACTCCATCAAAGATTTAACATTTTCTCTGAGCAGAAAAGAAAAAGGACATAACATCATTTGCTAATTTCTGCACTTGTCTTTCTGAACGTTTTCTGGGAATGTGACTAGGGGGGCAAATGGTCCAGCAAACAAAGGGGCAAATAATTGCATTTTTGAACAGCCAAAATTTTTCACTTTCTATTTGTAAGAAACAAACAAATAAACGAATACTCTCAGCCTACATCTATCTGCCTCAAATTTGACAGGCTTCATTCCCAGATTATGCACACAACATGCCATGCAGAAAGCTGAATGTTTCATATACAGCTGAAAGACCGTAAGGGCCAATATATGGGCACAAGATAGGTGTGTGATTCTGTGTATATGTTAGAGGCCCCCAACAGTTATCAACTAACAATCACATTTACATTCAGTTCTAAAGATCTTCAGGGGACAACTATAACTGAATCCTGCTACCACCTATCTTTTGATTTAGGACTTTGCCTCTTGGCTTTTTTGATGGAAAAGTCTTCTAATGTGGTGTGTGTTACACTTTTAGCCCTTTTACCATGTGGCTATAAATTGCTGTATTTATTTATTTGCCATATTTATACCTCGCCCTTCTCAATCTCCTAGGGGACTCAAGGCTATATACACTGTAGTTTTACTCTTAAATTTAGGTTTTTTGTGTCTTTCTGTAACTTTTTAAAAATGCTAATTTTTTTCAGAAAAATAAGTTGTTAAATGAAAGTCCCAGGAAAGTATTCTAAATGTTACAGAATGAATTAGATGTATTCCAGTGCCAATCTCTCTTTCAACCCCATTACCTGAAAACAAAAGCACTGCTCAAGCCTATTCCTGAGAAGAAATTGCATTCACACTTCTGAAATATCCTTGTTTCTCCAGCTGTTTAGATACTTGTTAGGCACATATCACATAGTCAGGTGAAAAATTATTACTCCCATTCATGTGGTTTGGTTTTGTGTTTGCAAAGTGCACAAAAATTTAATCACATAATGTCACACTTGACAGACATAAACTCCTGGCTTTGAAAGGAAGATCAGCCAGTGGTTATCCTAAAGATTTTATGCTATAATGAGCACTCTTGCACTTGGCACTTAAAATCTAATTTAATTCAAATTAATGAATTAAGATGCGCTAAACATATTGGACTTCTACTCAGGTTTTTCTTGCTTCATATTAATTTGCCATGCCAGCCCCAGATGTACCCTTAGGTCCAATCACTATAAAATATCTGGCTTCATAAGTCTGCACTAAATTGAACCCTGTCGAGACTGTGAGAAGCTTTGGATACTACAGCATAGTAGTAGGGAGAACAGAAAGAACAAATTATGGTTTAGGTTTACACTAGAAATGACCTTTTGGAAACAGCAGGCCAATAGTTCACTTTGTCTTCCTTTGTATCTAGGCAGTTGTAATATAAAGCCAAGAGGGGAGAAATACTTCTTTTCTGTTTCCCTCCCAACTAGGAAGGAAGGACTGTGGTAGTCTTACATTACCAAGTTTTCTATTACTTCACTGTGGTAGTCTTAACTTTGCATTGCCACTACCCAACAGAACACATTGTTTTCTACACCTTTCCCTCATCCAGTGACTGCTTCTCAAACACATGGGATGGCAGGACCTTGTATGTAGTCACTGTACTTTTTTGCCTTACTTCCAACATCCATTTTAATGTATAATTATATTCAAAGATAAAGTGTTGTCATCTATTCACCACGCACAGCCATTGGCTCTGATGCTGAAAATGATGCTACAAATATTTGGCAGAGAAGTGCTAAATGAAAAGCTTTTGTTTCCATGTATTTTGCCTACTGAAAGTGAATATTTAATTAATTCAAAACTGTAAGAAAGCTCATTTACCTTTCTAAGCTCTCATTTTCACTTGAGTTTGTTCAGTTTTAATCAAAAATTTTTGCATACTACATCAAACCTCTGTGAAAAGAACCACTTTTCATGTTCATAATGGAACATCAAAGACCCTGCAGCGAATATATTTTTACAGACACTAACAAAAGTATCCCCCCCCCTTACTTAGAGATGTGAAATGCTATTGTCTTCATTTTATAGATATGGGCCTGCATTTCAAAGAAAGAATTTGCATGGTTTGCCAAAGTTCACATTGGAACAAAGAGTAATTTTGACCATGAAGAGTTTTAAAATGAAGTAGAATATAATACCTATAAAATCATAAACAGCAAATACTCTGGGTGACTTGCACTGAGTTTCTGTTTCCCTTGTAGTTTTAGATATGCCTGAGAAGAACACTTGTTAAGGGGGAGAGAGGGAATCTGATATACACCCTTCACCAAACCTACTGGCCAATAGGATAGAGGCTTTTTAAGAGTATTTGAACTTGGCTAGCAAGATTGTTCATGGAGGAAAACTGATAAGTGTCCACCAGGAAAACTGAAACAAAGTTTGAAGAAAGAGTTTATTCTCTAGACCTGAATGACACTAAGGATAGTATTTCCTATTTGGTTAATATTGTAGGTCCTGCTGATGGAGCAGCTGAACCACTTCTGATCCTATCTTAGGGCAGTTCTACACAGACACTATAATACTGTTTGGAAGTAGATTGAAACAAGCTGGTTTTGTGGTGCAATGCCTACACAAACACCCCAGGAAGCGGTTCAAAGCAGGAATAAGTTCAAACTGGTGGCTACAGTATCCATTGATTGTGGATCAGAACTGAACCCAGGAGCTGCAGTATCTGGGGGGCTTTTTTATTAATCAGTCCATTAAGATGTGCTAATGCAGTGTAAACAATTAGAATATATCATGATCTCAAGCCCTGCATGGTATATACTCTGATCAGCCTCAGTGCATTTCTGGTTTGTTCTGGATTTCTGGTGAACTGTTTCATCCCGTCTTGGCATGAAAGCATCTGGCGATGCTTTCACCCCAGTTGGGGGCAGGGCCTATGCCGGAAGTCACTCGATGTTGTGTGATGTCCGGCATCAGCCTCAGTCCCCCAGATGCTGATTTCACCCCGTCTGATGAGGATGTTGGTGCATGATGCAGAGAACATTGAGGATGTATGTTTTATGGACACCTCATCTTCAAGCTGGCTTTGAACTGCATGAATTGCTCTTAGTTTCTCCTTGTCTCTATTTCTTTCCACCAATAATTCTTGGCTAATGAATTGGATACAATTTGTGGAAGCCTAGTCATATATCTCTTCACATTTTGCAGCTAGTCCTTGAAATCTACCTTTTCTCAGAATAGTTAGTATGATCATGTGAACTACTTTATAGAGAACAGTCCTCTATTTGAAGGTAACTTTCATTTGAAGAATAATCTGATTCATTGAAGAGTTTAAAGGTAAAGTATGCTTAATGGGGAGAGCAAAGAATTTGAAGGTGTTAGTCCAGCATTAGTTGGATGACAGACAGAGCACATACTCAGATCATCTGAGCACACTATCATCTAACATTGTGAGATGCATTGTATTCCTATTATTTTGCATTATAGTAATTTGTTCTACTCAAAATGTATATATCAATGGTCTTAAGGACATGTTATGCAAATTTCTGTCTCTTTGTTTTGTTTTGTTTTTTGAGATGTGCCAGTTGGCCACTATCCAGTCTTTGTAGTCAGTCAGCAATTAGTAACCTAGATATTGAGTATGAAGTTTAGATAATGCCTGATGAACTATCCTAAATGCCATCAATACAGGTACAAGCATGCTGCATTTATTCTTTTCATTTATGCTTATATTTGTGTGACTTCACTCTTGGCTACAGTGCTTTACAAAATCAATCTGTGAGTAATTGAGCATAATATTATTTTCATCACTCAAACAAACATTAATTTACATGGCAGATGGGTTACATAAAAATCTTCCCTTTTGTTATTACCACTAGTACAAGTCTTCAGAGCTTCACGCTTTTAAAGATGAAATCTTGACAAGACCTAACCAAATTAAATGATGACACATACATGTTTTGGGCTGTATCTGATTGCTATTCCATGGACATAACTGCTCTGCAACGTTTAAAGTTCATTAGAAGTATTATTTATTCTGGAGTCTGGGATATTGATATTGTAATAAGAACTCAGTTTTATAAATCCCTGAACAATAATTAGGTTTGAGGAGGAAAAAACCAAATATGCAGCTTGTGGTCAATAGATCAAAAGTGTTTATTGCAAAGAGGGTCCTTTTATGACTACTCAAATATTAATTTGAACAGGCAGCACACAGTAAAACTACTAGTATAGAACAGTTTCACCATCTCTGAGAGCCATAGCCTAGACAATCATTCCTCGTTTCTTTCTATATTATTTTAGCAACCTTCCATTTTGCCTTTGAATAACAGTTTAACTTAACGAGCAAGTTCTGCCTACATTCTGTCCTACATTACACTACATTCTGCCTACATTCTGTCCTACATTATGGCAGTACAGTTACCATCTCTTTATGTGCAATAACAAAATCAAGGTCTTTGACAGCTCTGAGAAATATCCTATCAAAAACATATTGGTCCTAAATATCATCAGAGCAGATCCACTGACTGAGTGATGAGTCAACACCTATATAAATACCATTGATGCACTGGGGCTACTTCAGTGGTAACTACTAATAGGATCTTGGGTTTATTTGTTTTTAGGATTCTCTGGTGTCCACAGCCAGCATTAACATGACCTTCCCACATGATACTCTCTATTAAGCTATTGTTCTTGGGGCATTTACCATCTAAAGATGGAATCGAACTGCATCACCCAGTCATCGTATCATTTTGTACACATGATAGATGAATATATCATTACTACCTGATATGTCTTTATTATGGTGACAGGTTCTTCTCCATTTGGCTCTGAAGACCCTTGGCTTTGCAGTAGATTCCTCACTGTCTCTTCCATTCTGCAAAGAGAAAAAGGAGTAAAAACTGAAAGGCAGAATTTATAATGAATCCCATTCTGAAATAATTGAATCACTGTTTCAAGGTTACAGGATCAAACTGACTACTTCATGTTTATGCATGGGCATATCATTCCAAAACAAACAAAAATGATGTGGTTTCCTTTATTATTATTAATATTACCTGCCAAAAACACATCTAGAATTAAATAAAAACTTCAGAACATAAGCAAAACTGAAAATCAAAATATATGCTGTCTGGGTGTAATAATATGATGCTAAATTCTATAGCATTTCTATGTTTCCATGTTGCTGGGCTATGGGAAGTACTACTTTTGCATAGCCTCTCTTACCTAGATTTAGAAAAAAAAACAAGAATATATAATAGCATCCACTATTGCTGAACTAGTATTTGTAGAAGATTGTGAAAGATGAAGGGGAAAAATTATAGCACATCGAATACTACATTCATTACTGCTCAGAGGATATGTACCTTGCAATAAATTCTGATACTTCTCAAACATCAATGATTTTTAACAATAATAAAATATTACTATTTGTTAATTTGGTATTCTATCAGTCTTCTGTGGAGTTTATAAGCACAGAAGCCAAGATCTAATAGTGTTCTTCTATATCCCATGCTAGGCTGCAAGCTAAGCAAGGATTCAAAGATAGGACTTCCAATCCAAAACAGGCACTCTGTCCAAGACTCCACTTTGGCCCTCAGTACAGATCTCTAAAGACAAATGAAAAGCTTTTTCAAGCACTAAGTCCTAAAAACTGTCTTGTTAGATCAGCTCATGCTCCACCTATTATACCATTCTCTTTTAGAGATAGAGTCTTACAGTGTTCACAAGCAGGCCATCAAGTTAATGGCCTTTCACGGTTTATCCCCAGCATATGGCATTCTTAGGGATTATTCTCTTCAATCTAGTCTATCAAATCAGTCAAAATTCATTACAGTTATTTCTTTGATGACCACATTCCAGTTTATTTAATCTTCAATGTTAAAATGAACATTCCTCTGGCTTCCCAAGAAAGAGTCATCAAAATGTATCTATTCTAGTCAGATGTCCAGTGACAGTTCAGTTATTTTTGATCTAATTATTATTTGCTTGATATGCATGCTTCCAGTTCACTGGAATGTACCTAGTAAAGTCATTCCATCTGTTGACCAAATGTGAGTAAAAATGAACCTAATGTAATTCTTGGTTCAGACAAAAGCTTCTCAGTAGTGAACTTGAACCATTTGTAAGAAGCACATTGACCTTAATCTGAAACTTTCTTTATTCTAATTTTTCTTCTTCTTTAATACACCTTCCACACAGGGGATATTTTCATGAAACATGTATGTACATAGAGCATTACGAATCCCCTGACTAATTATTTAATAGTGTTGCTAAAGAATACAGAGTTTGAATATAAATACAGGTTGGGTATATAAAATTCTGAAATACTCCACAATTTAAACTGTCCACAAGGATTGGAGAGATAGTGATGATATATGATACATATATTAATTGCATATTTAGATGGGTCTTATCTCCACAATATCTCATTATGTACATATATTCAAATATAGGTATTCCAAAATCGGGGGGAGGGTGTGTGTGTGCTGGGACTGAAATCCAGAAGACATCTAGTCCCAACTATTCCAAATATGGGATATATCAACCAATATTCACTTATTTCATTTTGCCCATTAGAACTCTCTCCCACCCACCCCTTCCCCAATAATTAATTTGTACTAAAGGGGAACTTTTTGTATTTTGTATGTTACTGATGGGAGGGAAGAAACTCGAGTTGTAAGAAAGTTATTTGGATACCATGACTTGTTTAAAATCCAAATAAATGGTTCCAAGAGTAAATCAGACTCTGAACTTTCACTAGAAACCAAGGGCCCTTCCACACAGCCCTGTATCCCAGAATATCACGGCAGAAAATCCCACAATATCTGCTTTGAACTGGTTTATCTGAGTCCACATTCAGATAATGTGAGATTTTCTACCTTGATATTTTGGGATATAGGGCTGTGTGGAAGGGCCCCAAAATTATTCAGCTGAAGGCTGTCACATTTTGGAAATATCATGAGGTAACATGGCACACTGGAAATGGCAATGATGCTTGGTAAAATGGGAGGCAAGAAAAAAAGAGGGAGAATACACTCCAAGTGGACCATGGCTATCAAGGAAGTCATATCTTGGGGTTTACAACGGCTAATTGTGGCAGTTGATAGCCAGGACTTTTGGAGATCTCTAAGAGATTTTCTACACTGGCCTTATACACTAGTTTTAACTAGAAGTTATTTCTGGATCTCCAGGTAGTAGCCAGGGACTCCGAGTCCATAATGCAGATTGTAAAGAGTTAACTCAGTTTTAACCATGTTTGGAGAAGTTGGTGAATGCTCCACAGTTTCACCATAACTCCAAAGCAGGTCCCACATTTTGTAAGTTCCTGTGGATAGCTGTATCAGCTCTAATCCAAACCAGTCTACTGTGTAGTGTGCACATGGTCCAATGCTGTGATCCTCTCTTCTGTGTGTTCAACAGCACAGGGGAAAAGGGACATATAGGGACAGTGTTATCCCTGTCATCATAGCAGTTGGCCAACGACCTCTGAAGAGCTCCTGGCCATTGCTTGGTACCTTTGCTGACATCACCAATGATGCTTAGAAGACCAAAGTAAAGAAGGGATGTGCAGCCCAACCCGATATCCTGAACCTTGCCACTATGGCTGCCATGGATCAGCATAAGAGCATCTGAAAAGTTCTGTGGAATTCGGGACCAATGCTAGCAAAAATGCTCCAGACTGGCCATGGTTTCAGTGTATGTATAGATGTGCCCAAAGTAATAAGGTCACCAGCAGCTAAAGTTAATTTCATTGCTAATAACAACAAATTTCTGTGGAAAATGTTTTGGCAATATTGGGCCGAAGGATTGATGATGCAACTTAATAACTTCTGGTAATCTTATGTCTATTAGAACATGGTAGTTTTGCATTTATCTGCTAAATGCAAAGAGTGAGGATTGCATGCTTTAAAAGCTACAGACAAAATTTTTCCAAAACCTATTTTCTTTAATGCATTAGTAAAGATTGTAAACTCAGACTAGACTGTTCCTTGCTCAGATCCACCTTACAGCAAAACAATTTCTAGACACAGAGCAAAATACACAGTGTGACAAACTAATCCAGATAATAGAAAGAGTTGTTATAACAGAAAACTAAAGGCAGCTCTTTGGGCTCTTCTTTTTATTAAATAAATTTGTAAAGGTTGGGTTATCTATACTGTTAACTCAGCAGTGAGGAAATATATTTAAATGTTGTGATCATTGATACATGTGTTCATAGACGGAAAGCACAACAAAATATGAATGGATTCTTTTGCCTATTTTATTTGTTCCTCCACCAAAAACAACAACATCTCACTACAGAACTAAAACAGCCCTACCTTGACAATCATTTGTCATGAATCTTCAGTTAAAGTGAGACTACCAGGTAGACTTCCTTATCGCTTATAAAAAAAACCCAACAGAACTGCATTGTGGGAAGAATAAGCAACTTGCTTATCTAATACAATGCCACCAACTCTCACAGAGTCACAGGTGTCTCAATCAGATGGGATTCACACCTGTCTTTTCTGCCTACTCGTTAGTTCCACTAAAAAAAAGAGATGCGAGGGGCCGCAACCAGGACATTTTAAATTAAGAGCACATGTTCTATCATTGAGCAGGGATTATTTTGCCACATCATTGGCCTTCAGACCATTTTCTGACCATCTTTGAGATGCAAAATTCTAGTTAGTATATGTGTAACTACACAAATCCAAATATTCTAGTGCATTCAAGAAAGCTAAAACTTGTTTTTCCTTTCATTGATGAAATCATTAATTATATGTTCTGATAGATAGGCCCACCAAGTTTAATAATCCCATCTTGTATTGCCTCCATCTTCGGGCAGTATGTAAATAGTCATAAAGAACAAGACTTGGTCTGTACTAATTGACAAAATAGGTGGAGACGATAGATACAGCACTTTGAACCAGGCTTTCCACACGGTTAAACTGATGCAATGATATAATTTAGAATTGTTGTTCCAGGAGGGTGGGGGAAATGGGGGGAGGGCAGGGGTGATGGGTGATACATATCTAAGGAATGTATAAAGTGTAATTTAAGGAATATTTACTTTTGGAATAATGTATACTGAAATAAGTCCTGTATGGCAAAAAAATTAATCGTTGGGATGTAGCAAATAAAATTTATAATTAAAAAAAACCTAAAACTTGATTTTTTAAAAAAAAGAAAATAGAGCAAAACATAACAGCAATAATATAGATCTAACATATAGCCAATCCACATCAGTTGTTGTGTTGGTTTAGAATGTGGACACAACAGCGGCACCAGAAGCATTCCAAGTGGCCAGCTTCTTGTCAAAGGACATTCAGCATAATGCCAAGTTTATAATTTTGTTTGTGTTTTTAAGTACATTATAACAATATCCTCAATTTGCTTCTCATGCGATAAATAAAGAATGTGGTACAAAGGACTGCAGAAAAGATCTTTTAAAAAAGTAACCTGGTGGAGAAGAAAGCAGTGTAGACTGCATTAGCACTCCTTCAAACTGGCATCTTTCTCACAAAAGAAATAGAGCATCTAGAAATCAGTGACTGTGTAAAAACTAATTTTGTGGATGTTTTCCATTTGTCCAGGAGGAAAATGAACGAAAAAGGTAAGCATTCACACCATGAGATCGATCCACATTGAACTACAGTGGCAGAAAATGCTGTGATCGCTGATCTTTCTGGTCATGAAAATAGTGTGAGGTTGTATGAATTATCTCTGACTGGGCAAGTTTTGGGTTAAGCTTAGAACAAAATTGGAAAGACTGTTCCTTAAGTAGTGTCACAACATAAAGCATATTTATTATCTCTCCCCCGCAACCTGCAAGGTAGAAGGACTTTGAAATGTTTTAGAATTGAAAGATAAATTTTCTTTCAGTGGCATTCA